GCGCGCGGAATTTTGTACGACTAAACTGCGCAAACTCGCAAATTGCGCTTGCCGAATGAATATTTATCGGTTGCAATAATGAAGTGCTATTGAAGTGCTAATTAACGCAAGCGGCACTACAGAGTGCCGGTGTTTTCTCGCCGACAGCTGTGCGAGGCCGTTTTGCTGGGATAAAAATAACCGCGGGACAATAAAAATGGCAATTATCGGCGCGGCACAATTTTAACTGTGCCTCGCGCACTAAGTGTGATCTCATCGCTGCGGCGGTAAAATTGTGTCAGCGTATTTCTCATGTTCAACGAATGCGAAACGCGGTATCGTAAGAATTAGGCAAGAAAGCTTGTACGTACTCGCATTACGTACTCGTGTAACTTTCAAGTTCAAGACGAAGCCTTATATACGTTCGCGTACATAACTCATGCGTTACAAACGACGTCCGTTTACTCTGAAATCGTTGCTTTGTGGCGCGTTTACCTGCAGTTCGCTGAAAATTTTTAAGTTTTGCCTCCAACTATATTTGTCTGTAACTACCTTGCAAGTAATTTTACGTTTTAGTGAAACGTGAGAAATTCTTACACAAAAATACCGCTTCGAGGCGAAGAGTTTCTCTATAATATAAAATCTCGAAAATATAAAAAATCTTTTCCGCAAGTTTTTATTGCGAACAAAAGAAACACAAAACATTTAACAAAGAAAAACCCGATAAAGTTCTAGAAAATTACAAACCCAACTAAAAGTTAAAAAGAAGAAACTTCTTCCTTCGTGAGCGAAGAAGGAAGAGCTAAACTATTCCTCCTCCGATAAGCGATTCCTTGAATGTCGGACTTCTCGGCGTAGCCGCGCGCGCTCAAAGAAAGAGAGTGATTATGATAAGTTTCTTGATGTCTGTAATGCCCCGACGATCGCTTTGACTGGCACAGATCGACCGCAGCCACGCGTGGAATGCAGCTATGCATCTCATTCGCCGTTCGACGTCCACCCGGTGAAAACCAGCGTGCAACGCGCGCGCGCACGAGGCGAGACACGCGGCAGATCGGCGCTCAAGTGCGTGTATGTACACTAGCCGGATAAAGAGGTCGTTGTAAATGCCCCAACGTTAATTCGCCGCAAGTTTTGTAGGACGCGCCGCGCCGCGCCGCGCGTACGAGGCAAGCCCGCTTCGTATGCCGAAGCGTTTCAGCGGTTTTACACCTGTGCGTCCCGCGCAGTCTTTTGGACACACATCGAACGGTTTCTCGTCGAGAGAGGGTCGATGTCCTACCAAACTCTTCCTAATCGTTCTGCATCGCACCTCGTCCGTGACCGTTCGAGAAAGTGTCTTAAAATTACCACGATCCTGACAAACTCAAGCTTCAAAGCTTATCACGTGTCTTTAACGAATTTCGACCTTAACTTCCTAAAAGTAGTAAAACATACTTCGAAATGTAAAGACTACGTCAAATTCTCTTTGATGAAATCTCGTTACAGACGGTAAGTTGGCATTGCAACTTCCACAGTCGACACCTTTAATTTCCGGTACGATTCCTCCCGAGTCGAGCAAGCAAAAAGTTTTGCGCAAACTGGCAAGACGATTTAGACTGTGTATCGGTGCAAAAGTAAAAGACGCGAACCGACTTGCGAATTGACAACGTAAGAGTATTACAATAAAATATGTTAGTGTGTTCTCTTTTTTTTCCATTTTGGTGAAAACAAGAAAATCTTGTTTCTTTCGAAAGAGTTGACCTTTCTTTGTCACGAGAACAACGACGAAATCGATTTCGACCCCGTAGAGTCGAGTGTAAAATCGAACGGTTCTTTGCCCAGGTCAACGCCTTGTCACGAACGTCTGACAATACACTTCGACCGACTGTAGCGATATATGGTCTCATACTTAATGATACATCGCTCCGCGATTGAAATGCACGTCGCACTTGAAACTTCCGCTGGTGTAACGTTATGAAACGACTTATCGGATCGATTATTGAGCGTCGACATTGAAGCGACACTGAACTTCAGATTTGGCGTCGCGTAAAAACCCCTTTGTCGACTTCGTTTGTTTTTCACGAGCAATTGCGCGGTTATGACTGATTGGCGCGTATCTCTCTCTCGTGAAAGAAAGTCGAGAAAGTCGGATATAATTAAACGGTAGCGCATATCGAAAGTTTCTTGATAAACGAACGAAAGCCGCGACGCGAATCGACCGGGTGGCGAACTGTATTAGTTGCAAAAGCGCGCGCGTTTTATCAAACAACAAGTCTTTTATTCATTTCCGTTTCGTTCGCGCGTTGTGTAGTTCGCGAGCTGCATCCGTGCGAGCTGCAGTTGCGTGCATTTCGACCGAAAGTGAAATTGCGTGATAATGATTGCGTCTCGAATTTGATTGAGTTACGCGATGTAAGCTCTCTCGTTAAACTCTTTTACACGTAAATAAAGTATGAAAGATTTTGTAAAGCTGAGAACTTGAAACGAGTAACGATCGAGCGCTACTCGGAACCGAATCAGCGGCCTGTTGCAAATCGGCGTGGCTGTCTCGGATTGCGTTTTCTGGCTTGGTAAGCAACTTAAGGATGATAGTTCCGTTTTATTTATAAAACAGCCGCGCGAAGATTCGCTCGCGTGCGCGCGAAGCGAGTTGCCGGGTTGAACGCCTCGAAGTGCAGCAGACCCGATAAAACTCTAACGGAATGCGCTTACATGCGCTTCGTTGTCACACAAAATTGTCCCGTTCGACTTTTCGTCCGATCGTCACCGCGCCGTCGAGATCTGGCGCGGTCTTGTTGCCGGGTTCGGCGCTAATTGCCAGTTGAAAATAATCGCGTTGGCGGCGTCGATGCGCGCTCGTTCCTCTTGCGTAACGTAAAGCGTACCTGCAGTCACGCTTGGCAAAAAGTGTTACGTCCGTTGCAATTAGAACGAGTAGAAAAAAAAAGACACGACACCTGAATTACCTCGACGGAGGTAATTAAGCGATTGTATATTAAGAAGAGATCATAGACGTTATGGTTTAAGTTTTCTATTGTATATCTGTGCGATTCTCTTTGTTTTCGAAATAATGAAAAAAGCGAGTTCTGAAGACCATTTCCCTTTTGCTCGCGAGAAGAAATATATGAAACATATCTTGTTACTTTCTATTGGTGCGTATCCATTTCTATATTGTTTAGATATTTTAAAGATAATCAATTATTCAATAATAAACAGTTTCTTCTTTGCAGTAAAAAAAATATCCGGTTTCCGCGTAAAAGTCGAACGTCAAATATCATCTCCATATCGTCGCTGCGGTTAAGATTGTCGGTTAAGATTTTTTTCTATACTTGCGGTTGTGTTACGGCGAGACAAATGACGCGAATCGAGTTTCTAGCTAATTTTTAATTGTCGATGTAAAGAGCGGATCTTTCCGAATTAGTAGCGTCGCAAGTTTTGCGGACGGATATCGTCGCACGTGAAATGCGATTTGTGAATTTGCGATTGATCGTTATCGGGTATGTACATCAACGCTCGTGCACGTCCAGCGTCATGCTCAATTACAACTTTCATTCAAGTACGCAAGAAAAAGAAATCTCCACGCCGGGACCCGGTCGTCGTACCCGACGTGGCGTGACTCCGCGCCGATCTGGCTCGACGACCTCTTCTGAGCGAGCATCGATGTCTCTTTTCACGAAACACCTACTTGCTGCAATCGCACGCCTACTTAGCCGCTAGTGTGCCGGAGCTTTGTATGCTCGTGCTGTTTCGTCAAGATTTGTGTCAATATAAATCGTGTGTTGGGGTCAGTTATTAATAAAAACGGCAACAGAAATTTTTTTACAGAATATTGTTTTTTTAATACAAATTTACATTTTTTGTGTGTTAATTTTTGATAAAAATTTAAATTTTAATAGTATAATAAATATTAATTAATATTTATTGTCTTATTAAAATATTAACAAATATTAACAAATATTAATTTTAATAATATAACAAATATTAGTAATTTCTTGTAAAGTTACTAACAATTTACTAATAAACAAAGATGAAATAGAAAGAATTGAGTAGAAAAAATGAATAAAAAAATATTGTTAGTGTTTTTAGAAATTAATAAAATTATTTGTTTAATAAAGTGTGAAGAACGTTTTAGGTGAGTAATTTTTGCAGTGTAAAATTGTGTCGCAACAACCTTTTTTCAAGGTGTCTCCTTAACAGTCTCTACATATCTACTCTCGGTAATAATGCGAACCTTTCTGGACTGGCTCAAGCCCGAAGCGATTAAATCCGAGTTCTACCGGCTATTTTGCCTTCGTGCTGCGTTCACGGCCGCGTTTTCTCGAATAGAAAACTACTTCTTCGACTCCTACGAGTATGGGATTAGAATCGGCACGAAAAGGACATTCATTGAAATAAGATATTGTTTCCAATAAGCAAACCGGTTGTGCTAACCGGTTTGACATCGAAATATTATTTTTAAACGATAAGAAAGGGTTTTTCTTTTGCAAATATAAAAACTTCATTTTTTTACATTTTTGTAAATGGAGCAAATACAATGATTTACTTGTAATATGCGTATGTAGCTATTAAAATTAAACTCTTATTCTTTTTTTCTACACGAATAAAAATTCATCAAGTAAAAAAATTTAGGTCTCAAATCACGACGTTCATCCAATTGTTTCTGAATTCCCGCTGAAAGCCGCCATTAGAGTTCGAGATGAATCTTAGACGTGCAAAGCAAATTCTTCTTTTCTTCTTTCTCTGTTTCGCGTTTCTGACGTCATTTTGCAGCAATCCGGCCGCCACGTGACAGGTATTTAAATGTACCGTATAGCTACCCCCGCAATGGTGTTCATGTAGCAAACAACACGAAAGTCGTCGTGTTCGTCCTTCCCTCGCGTCGCAACGGCCACTCGATGTCTCCTCCACCTTTTCTGCGCCTACGTTCACGGCTGCCTTCTTTCTCTGTCGCACGTTGCTCTCCTACAGGGGAAAGAAGAAGGCACTTCTGTTTCTCAGGTAACGCGCGCCGTTCACCTGGGCAGGGAGAGAGTCCGGTTCTTCAGTCTTGTAGCAGCGGGCCGGAGGGAAGGAGCTGCGTGACCCTGAGAACAATTGTAGGATTTTTGCTTTTCGTTTTGTCTGGTCTTTTCGCGTGATCTCGCTCTTCAGCGTAAATTCGCTCGATGAGAGACGGTGTCACCTTCCCTCTCCCGCCCACGTGAAAATTCATCTTATCGTTATCGGCAGTTCATCCATGCGGTCCGAATCTCGTTCCTTTCTGTGAAGTGAATTGTCATCAACAGACCGTGGACTCGGACTTTCAGTGGTGTTACATGTACCTTGGGACTAGACTGCTGCACCGTAGAACGTAGGAGAAACACATACGTAAGTTTATGAGAGAAATGTGCCGCGAGAATGTTTGAGACTCTCGTCTCAATCGGACGTGTTTGGCTCGAGAAGCGTTGATTTTGCGTGAGCGCGCCTTTCTTTCGAGCAGGCGCCACAGGGTCACTCGCATCGTCTGGAGAATTCGAGAGAATACGAAGCCAAATTCAACGTGTTTTACAGTACAGCTAGGTAGTAGGTCCTTTTGAAGAAAAAAAAGATCTCCCGTGAAGATGGCAGTTTTCCACAGAAATTATCTCGCAAGAAGGGTTCAAACTTTTTTTTAATCTTTAACAGATACGATGCAATGAAATGCGAATCTCTCTCTCGCCAGTGTGTGTAATTGCAAAACTCTTGATTAAATTTTTGATTGGAAATATGTAGAAGAAAATCACAAAATTGTGTTTTGTTATTATGATCTCAAAGACGTCTCGAGTTTGTTTGACATTTCTTCGACTCTAGCAATTGTAAACATAATAATCTCATACCAAAAACAGTTTGAATGACTGAGATAAAAGAAAGTAATTTTCTATTTTATCTGAACACCACACAGTTTTCTTATGTTTATTAATATTTTCTACTAAAACTTTAGATGATTTTCTGTGTACAGTCACGGGATGTATTTATGTATATCCATGACAAAAATGCCTCTGGATACATGTGTCGAAATTGCGTATAATTATATGTGTGGAAATCATTTACGACTACGCGAGAGATGTCGAAATTTACCGTTCACAATCTTACGCCTGCGATTTTCGAATTTCAAGAAATACACAACTGCCGATTGTTGATACGCGTTTGTTTATATTCTCGAAAGTGGCAAACAAAAACAAACGAAATTTATCGTAAAAGCGCTGTTCTATCGGAAAATGAAATGAAGCCGCTCAATGAGCGCGCACGCATTTACGCAAGAGCAGACATCAATCATTACGCAACACTTGACAAAAGTTCAACATGGATTTTTTTATAAAACATCAAAGAATCATGTAAATTTGCACCGGTTTCGCAGCATCTTCGCGCGCAGAAAACACGTGAATTAAAATAAAACAAAATACTGTGCTAATTGAATTAGCGATTTAACGATCTAATCTATGATGTAAACTAAGTAAGTCCATTCTTTAAAAAATTTATCTGTATGAGTAGTGTGAGACTGACTCTGCGTATCATGAAACTTAATGCTACACAGACCGTGTCATTTATTTCTCACGTTGATGTAACGTTAGGTTACACGCGCAGATTTTTTCAAGCAAGTTTGAATGTTCATTTTTCTGACTGTAAATAATCTAAATACTTCACACAATTCAAAATTTCAGTGTTACATCAATTTGTATAGATGATGTAAATTAATTATCTACTAAAATTTGATATTTTACGTATATATGTAGGTGAAATGCACATTGTGTATATATATATATATATAATTTACGGAAATCAGAAGCTTCTTCGTGAACTTCCTTTTCCGATGCTCACAAACGTGTCACGTCGATCTCTCAGTCAGTTTTTGCGTTGCAATTCGCGGGATTTTCTTTCGCGCATGTCGTGTTCGACACATCGCTACCGGCTCGATTCTGCGCACGGGGTTGCGTGTGGCAGAACTTCGCGTTGTAAAGCACTGTAGGAACGCGCGTAAATATAGAAGAGAAAGTTTCTTGCTTCGTAAATTTTATATACGTTGCCTTCGCTCTTCGTTCGCGCTCTGCGTTTGTAAAATGCTAATAGGATGTTTGAACGAACGAAATTACGAGTTTGCGCGCATTTGCGCGCGAGCTTCAAATGATTTAAAAATGCGCACTCGGCATGGATAATTTCCGCGGCATCAAACGCAGTTGCAAACTTCATCCACAAATGCCGCTTGGTTGCGAACGAGAAGAGAACCGCGATCCATCGGATTCCTTTGCTTGTTTTTTCTTTTTTTTTGCAATTTCTTTGCCTGAGTTGTTGGATTAGAGATAAACAGGTTCTCTATTCACGCATATATAATTTTTTATTGTATACATTAAAGTTTATAATATAAATATGTTTATTGCAGAGAACGGCATGATATATTACGTCATAAATATTTCCGCTGCTGTAAAACAGCTTTGCTTCTGAGTCCAGATAGTTTCTTGCGCGAAGAGAAAGAGAGAAATTATTGTAGAATATAATCTACGATACATTTATCAGAGATTATAAAGTATATTTTTTTATGTTTGGAGAAAGTTCTCTATTTCGATGAACTAGTTCTTATTTATACTGTTTGAAGAACATTTGCATTAGATAAAATTCTTTATGACGTGACCTAAAATACTTTCAACGAAGGTTAATCTCTCTGCCATTATGGCGGCAAAGAGAACATAGATCAGCCTTGCGGCTTTTGATAGGTGGGTAGGTAGGTAGGTAGCTGGGTAGGTAGGTAGATAGGCAGGTACATGACTTGGATACTGGCATACAGATAGATAAGTACCCGCACGTGGTATGTACCGAAGGATTCTGATTTCATCTTGCATATTAAAAAAAAGAAGAGAGAGAGAGTTTTTCTTCTCTCGTTTTTTTTGGTGATTTCTTCAGTTCTTACATCATTTTATATTTCGTGAAATTTTTATTTAAAAAAAACAAATCATTAGAATTCTGTTACCATATGACACGTGACATTCGTGATAGAGAGAGATATATATATATTGTATGATTCAACAACGTTCTTCAGTAATATTTTATTTAAATATATGAACGACCACACACATTTGGAATTCGAATTTTTGCTACACCTCGCTTGAATCCGTGACTTAACGACAAATTCGTTAAAGCTATGACGTTACTACTTGCCTGAGATTTACCGTTAGTCGCCGACGGCTAGAGCATATCATCGCCGTGAGAAATTCTAGTCACGTAACAGAGAGAGAGAGAGAGAAAGAGAGAGAGAGAGAGACACTTAGATGACCACCTCGAAGTTCTCAAACAGCCATCGATTATTATTAGTAATTGTTACAGTAATCGTTGACCTTATATATATATATATATATATCTTCACTATTATTTACACAGACTTAACAAATTACAAAATAGCAGTAAACTTATCAACGATTTTTCGGTTTGTCGCGCAAACCGCAAAATATTATTATACTACTCTCTCGTGGAATCTCGTGGCTGTTATCGCACGCGGTCGATAAAACACGCGCCGCGCGCTTTTCTCTTGTCGCCCCTACGTGATGCAGTCGCTGTTTTACGGTGACGAGGATCGTAATTGTGGCTTTCTCGGCGCTTGATGATAATCGCGCGGGCACATTTTTTTTTCCGCGCTGTCAAACGTCCGTGATGCAGCTGCGCCATGACGGTGTGCAACTTTGCACATGACCACGCCCCGAGTGCAACAACATTGCGAATTATAAAGCGAAAGAATTGTGTGCTCGCTCGGCTGGCATCCCGCGCGGCTCCTTCGGCAGCCGCGCCTCGTATTTTCACCTCACTTCGCCGCTCCTCCACATCGCGAATGCATCTCGTTCGAATCGCACGCGCGGCCGCCACGCCGCGCTTTTGCACGTGACCGCCGCGTTCGCGACAGCGCGGCGCCCGCTATATCTCATGCTTTTCTCGGTCGACGAACTGCAAGAAATGCGAAATTGCACGGTATCGGCGCGTCACGGGTCACATCGGGTCGTCGTGTACAAACTATTCCGCGATTCTGGAAGTCTTGGTCTTTATTAATCACGTAACGCGTTCTCGTCTTGTTAGTTTTATACACAGTTCCTGCAGAATAAATTGTGCAGTTTGGTTTAATAAAAGATCGACGCTCTGAGATGCCTATCAGAAAGAAAACTAATGTTCTCTAGAAGAAAAAACTGCCATAAATATATAAAATAAAAAATATACTTACTGTCGTGTTTTTTTTTTTTTTTTGATTGGATAAATTTATATGACACTTTTTTGCGATTGCTGAAGAATATTAACAAAGCGGTTAAACAATGCCTGCTCGTCTCTGAAAACGAACGTCACGTTTCTTCGCGACGTTCACTGATCGCGTGACATCGTCGTTTGCAGACGGCGACAAGCTTTATCGGTCAGCGAACCGTGAGAATAACGCGCGGTATAACAAACGTGTTAGGTAGATAGGCGATATCGCGAGAAAACGTGTCTCAAACCTCGACCCTGAATTTTCATCGGCCGCCACGTGCATCCCGCATTCAGGAAACAAACGGTAAACGCCAGAGGCCGGCCTTAATGAGGACGATATGACAAAAGTCACGCTCACGAGAATGACGAGCAACACGGCTGTGCTTAATGACGTTCCCGTGTCCTTCGCGCGATATAGAAAAACAGAACACAAAAATCCATTAAAGTAGCGTTCTGTTAAACTATTTTTTAACAAGTGTATCTCATATAAATTTATTTCAATCTTTGTGTTTTTTAAATTACAATTTAAAAATATACATTAGCACGCAAACATATATATTACGTGACGTTTGATGATCTATAAATTGGCTTACATTTCGCGTTAATAACCAGTTTCAGTAATGGGCGATAGTTGCTCGGTCGCTCGTTGCGTCAAGCTCGCAGACCTAGTGGAATACCGCGGAATAATTTAACGGTAGCCTGTGCTAATTGGTGCCTTCGTTTATACGAAGCGAGAAGCAAATAAAATACGAACATGTGAGTTACAATACCGAACGGAATTAGAAGAGAATTGAGACAAAAAATTACTTGTTACATCGCAACGAAGCCGGGCTGAATTTCTGGAATAAATCGTGTGCGATCCTCGCGTCGACTTGTGACCCTAATAATACCCGGCTACTATATCTCACGTACCAGAATTCCTCAATTCTGAAAGCGACGACGGGAAATGCGTCATATCAACGCTATTGAGTGAAGAACGCAGGTGGCTCCAAGAAGTCCGGGACTGGGATAATACATTTTCACAATCGTCGGTCAGGCGAAAGAAATGCCGACCGACTGGTCGTTTTACGATCCGGTGTTAGATACCACTTTCGACCATTGTACGGTCGACCAGAGCGCTGCAATGCCGTAGA